GGGCAACAATGCACAGAGAGTTCCATAACTGGAAGATCTGAAAATATAAATTAATACCACCATACAAAACATAATTCTGAAAAGTCAAGGCAATTAGCCAAATATAATTCACCAAGAAGAGAGTTCATCCTTTAAAGTGCCTCTGACATCCAGGTTTTGTAATAAATATGAACGTATTTTTGGAAAGTTAACATTAATATCATGTTGCAAAAAAAAGTCAAGCCACGTGTAAAATGTGTTTTATGCCAAGTTTTGTGAAATACAAAGATGCTTTCTTTGACTTTTTGAATTCGCAGGATATGTATGTCACAGGTACTTTAAGAATATATCTTTACCAATAAAAATGAGCCAAAATTGAGTCAATGTGTCGAGCATGTAATTAAATTAAATCAAAATAAATTAAATTAGCAGCAAACTCTTTGGAATTGACAGCCAGTGTAGCATTTTTTTCTGTCTTGTTTTGCTAATATAAAACATTCCCACAAAGTTTGATTCATCTACCATTGAAGCAAGGATTTGTATTTTTCTGTCCCTGTGAAAACCGGATGTACTTCTTTAAAYGCTGTAATGGGATATTGTCTGTAAACCTAAAAGAACACAAAGGGCAGCGGGAGAACACGACGTACCGCCGGCTCAGAGTGATTCAGGTTTCACTGCAGCGTTTTTTCACCCCGTGACTGGAGGAGAGAGGATTGTTGTTCCATCAGAGTGAAACGCTCAGTAAAGTTCACTCAACAACAATGAAGACGAGCAGAATGACATCATATTTCAAGGCTTCATGCACAGTGAACCAGAATGAGGTCACCTTGTATTTTATCTCCCCTCGTTTCTAATTAAAGGCACATTCAGGCTCCTGGTTTCATGTTGGAACCATTTGTCTCCTTCGTCACCTCGGATATTTTATAGATCTTTGATTTAAAGCATCATGTTTTAACTGAAGCATAGTTTGATACCTCAGTAAAACCGCTCATCTGTAACGTTTTTGCTGCTCGGTGCCACAGAAAATCTGATCCGATCACATTTTCTAAAGCAGTAAGAGTTCAGGTCGCCTCAGCTCTCAGGTGGAGCCAGCTTGTTCCTTCTGTKTCAGAGATAACAGCTGAATGTTTTCCCCCAGTCCCACTGTTTCTCTGCATCACAATCCCATTTAAACCAACAAAAACAAGCTCTGGTGTCAATTTTAGCCCAGTTTAATATTTAAACTTGACAGATGTAAACAGAAAAACTATTATGTGGCTGTTTCATTGAGTTTGAAGCTTTTTATGGYTGGTTTAAAATGTCTGGAGGCCAAAGTGCATTCAGTGGTAGGAAAATATATATATATATAAATATGAGCCATCAGCACYGAAGCTCTTTTTATGCTTTTTCTTTCAGACTAGATGCTACATTTGCCAAATATTTCAAAATATTTTTTTGAAAAGTTTTGGCTGCTGAGTTTTGTTTGATCAGATCTCTCTTCATCAGACTGATAAAAACAACACATMCTCAGATTTWTTTTCAGCATAATTATCAGAAAAKGTCTGTGTGACATTTTAAATGGACCTCTTCATAAAGCAGAAAACAATGAGGACGGCTCAGGTCTCTCAGTTTAGATACAGATTAATATTTGAACAGGAGGGCACTTCCTGCTCTTTCCTGACTGAGTGATAACAAAACTCATCCAGAACAGATTACCGGGGTCATTTTTAAATAGTCAGGATCACAGAGATAAAGCAGACAATAGACTYGTAATAAAAAGTTTGTGTGAGTGAAGGCTGATTGTTAAAATGTTGACACTTATTTATTTATATTTTTAGCTTTTTACCCGCTTTATTTTCCTTACCCAAGGATAAATCTAATTGTGAGTTTTTGGTTCTGTCTCTTGGCCCTGAAAAATGATTCATTCTTTATTTTATTGCCTTTCAACATTTTATTTGGATTTTTGTTTTGATCAAAAGCAATGTTTTTTTGCATTAACAAATCAGATGAAGTTAAAGGAGGAAGAAAAATTAGCTTGAAGTACTTATAAAAGTGTAAAAACAAAGAATCTTTATTTCAAACCAGAGAGTCTCAGGTTGGTAGTGGTCSGGGCTTTGACTGGACCTATCCAGGACATTTATCCTTGTTAAAAGGCAGTTTTTCCTCTCCACTGTCACCAATGTGTTGCTCAGGATGGAAAACTGTGATTAAGTGATTCAACACAATCTGCTGGCTTCTTCAGATTGCTCTTTATACTTTTTCCTAATATTACGCTTGTTGTGATTTGGTTCTAAATAAACTGAATGAGGACCTTCACTCGTGATGTCACACACATCATTCGGACCATCAGAGTGGATCCTACAGAGAGTCAGTGTGAAGTAACAGACGTTCCTAGAACAAACTGTGACAGATCCAACTTCAGGAACCACAGGAAAGTTCTTTTGAAAGGTTGGCTCGAGGGCCGGGGTCTTTGACAGACTTGGAAAGAGAGTGGAATTGTTGAAAACGTTGGTGATTTTGCTGTGTTTTATAGCTTAGCTTGTGTGTGTGTGTGTGTGTGTGTGTGTGTGTGTGTGTGTGTGTGTGTACGGGTTTTGCCTACAACATGGGGAAAATTTTCCCAAAAAAGCTGCCTCATGGGAACCGAAGTGCATCGTGGGGACCAATGCCAATTCCCACGAGTCCAAATGCAAATTACAGGCAGGGGGTTGGGTTTAGGACCAAGGTTTTAGGTTAGTTTTAGGGTCAGGTAGGTACCTGTGAGGTTAATTGTAGGGTAAATGGTCAGAGTTAGGATATAAAGTCTAAAAAAATGAATGAAAGTTAATGGAAGGTCCCCACGGGGTTCAAGAACAAACGTGTGTGTGTATTTTTATCACTCGAGCCACTGCTTCTGCATYGTTTAAGAAACATAATGGTGATGTTTATAATTTGTGTAAGTATTATCATCGTATGTGTGAYTGACCGCAGTCAATCGCTGTATGAGGCTAGCATAGATGCTAGGAGCAAAGCTAGCAGTAGGCTACAGTAAAACAATAAGGTTTATGTACCTGTTTATGTGCAGGAATAGGAWCCGGGTGGTCCAGTGTTGGTCTTTTACCTCCAATTAAATGTTTGGAGCAGACGGAGTGAAATTCAGCTCGTCTCATCGCTTGAATCCCTCAGTTAGCCTAGCATCTTAGCTTGGGAAAAGTGATCAAAAATACTCCTTCCATGTGGGGATGATGGCTGTATCCTGAGTCACTGTTACAAATAATGTATCAGAAYGTTCTGTGGTCCTCCCGGTGGACTTCGATGCWGTTTTCYTGAACTTATTTAAATTTAAACACAGCTAAACTGACGTAACTCCATTAAAATCAATGGTGCGGCTACGAGAGTTGCATCAGTGTCGAGCAGAAAGAGTCACGTGACTCGTGYTCTAAAAACAGCCTTCATGAAGGTCCTCATTAAACTTTAATGGAGCTCCAGAGGATGTTCAGAGTTTGGGTACATGAATACTTCTGCAGTTGTGTTACCTGCAGAGAAACGGTGTTGGTCAGCCTCCTGATGGTAACGCTGTGCAGCTGCCCATTGCTCAGGCTCCTCGCGCTGCTCCTCAACACTTCAGCTTCTCTGCTGCCGTCCAGCTTATATCTCACCTCCAGCTTATCTGAACACAAAGTATGTTTTCACAAATGAAACTTTAGTATTTTTTTTGTCTTGTAGAAAATATCCTTGTTTTGTTCTCTAATCTCTCTGTGTGTCTGAGGAAAGAGATGAAACTGGGTGATAAGTATCTGAGTTAATAAAGCTTTTCATGCAAAGAGGATTAGAAGATAATTCCCCGTCTATAAAACTTCAGATCTAATTAATTTTCCTAATATTAGGAGCATTAAAAGTGGATTGAATGATAATATTATTTCTACAGGCGACTAAGATTAAAAAGGACAAATCTGCACATCGTCCTTCACTTACTTACAATTCTAATTAATCTCTTTAAGAACTCTGATTAGATTTACTCTCATTTCTTCCTAAAACAGAATCTTTATCAGGAGGTTTTTGCTGTTTGATGCAGATTCTAACGTTTATACATTCTTTAAAAGAGAGAACCTTTTTTAGGCTTAAAAGGTTTAACAAATGGAACAAAAACAAACTGTCAGGACTTTATTTGGACTCTTGATTTTAAGGGCGTTTTAGCAGACGACTCCGAGGCCAGCGCAGAGCCTTAATGCCCCGTTTCCCATTATCTTCCTCAGAGTCGTTAAGGCCAGAAAGAGTCCATTTAGAGCTAATTTAGCAGCAAAGTGTCAATTTTCTGAGGCTCCTAGATGCTGAAAATCTAATTCTGAGTTCAAAGTTTCTCCGCTACAACTCTTAAAAGCCACAACTTGGTTATTTAAGAAGGTTTGCAGCTAATTTATCCTGTTTCATGGATTTATTTGGTTTAACAAAGCAGCTCACCTGCAGCTCATCCTCAATAAGACCAAAATATAAAAGCTAGCAAAGCTGGACTGGATGAAAAACAGGGTTTGTGGATGTAAAGAGGAAAATCTGGAAAAGCTGTGTTGCAGAAACTGAGCAGAAAATATTGATTTCAGGAGAAAATGAGGAGGAAAATGAAAGAAAACATTAAAGCAAAACCGGAGGTGCTGATCCCAGGAAACCCGTGTTTTAAGAAAAATGCTTCAAGTGAGATTTATGAACTTTTCAAGCTGTTGATGAGAAAACCTGCCTGTTTTTATTTGAGCTCTACAAACAAATGGCTCAAGTCTCCTCCAGCTTCCAGCTGCAGGAGAAAAAGGTTCTGGAGGAAGAACTTGCTGAGATCTGGTAAGTTGTAGATATTTAACCTTTTACACATTCAAGCACTGGTAATTTAATTTAATAAAAAAAGGTTRCACAGTTAAACCTCCGTACCAACTTTACATACATTTTTACAGTACGTAGATAAAATACTCTGAAACACAGCATGAGAGAAAATCCAGCCTTTGTTTAAATAAAAGACTTTTTCTGCAGGATGGTTCAAATCTTTTTCAGAAGAAAAGAAAACTTCTGTAAGCCTGATTCTTGCTGGACTTTCTGATTTGACTCATTTATGTCTCTAGTGTTCAGACRTGGAACTGCAACCTCCGTTACTCAGGTAAAGAATGGATGAGTGACAGGCAGAGTTGTAAAGTAACTATGGTAAGTACAAATACTTTGTTACTGTACTTAAGTAGAAATTTCGCTTCTATATACTTGAGTAATTATTTTTCAGGGTACTTTTTACTTTTACTTATTACATTTTACACAATTATCCGTACTTTCTACTCACTACATTTTAAAAAAAGGTAAGAAGTACAAAGTCGTTACTCCTATTTTATTCAGAGTTATTACTTAAACAAATACTATCCTGATAAATTGTGTCTCCTGGATAGAGTGAATTTAATTGTGGTTGGATGAGAAGTATAAATATRTACCATTCTGACACACTATTAGTTTGTACTCAACCCATCACAGCTGCACGCTGTTAGAAAATATATTTTTTGGAGAAGTCACCTCCCAATAAATGTCATTTTGGAAAATCTAACTGCTCACTTTTACTCAGTACTTTTACTTTTAGTACTTAAGTAGATTTTGTGTCAGAAATTTACTTTTGATACTTAAGTACAAAAAATATCAGATACTTTAAGAATTTTACTCAAGCAATATAAGACTAACTTTTACCAAAGTATTTTTATGATAATATACTTGTACTTTWACTCAAGTATCATTTTGAGGTACTTTATAAAACACTGGTGACAGGACAGGGGCACTTCAGGGGGATTTCAGCTGGGGCCAATGCCCCTGTTGCCCCGCCCCTAGAACCACCCCTGATTTAAATATCAAAAGAAAATTCTGACATAAAATGTACTTKAGTATTAAAAGTAAATGTACTGAGTAAAACTGAAACAAACTGTTGTTTATTGGGAGGTGACCTCCCCAAAAAACATTTATCTAAAGGCCTTAATGATCATAACGTTATATTAAAAAGTTAATGTTGATACATTTAGGATAGWGGCTGGAGTTTAACCAGATAAACAAAATGTCTACTTAAGTAAAGTAATGCAGTGTTTTTACTTTGTTACTGTGACCACCAGGTGTAACAGGACTCTGAACTTCCTTTAAGCATTAATAAAACTCAAAGGAAGCAGATAAAGTCCCTCCTCACCGTGTTTGTTGATGAGCAGAGCCACGTACTCTCTGTAGAACGAGCTGACGTAGAGCAGCAGAGCCGGACTTTGTGTCGTCCTGAAACTCAGAGACACGTTTTCTCCCCTCAGGGTCGTGTCGGAGTAGATGGAGGACGGCCGAGYGCTGCCGTTTCTCTTCAGCTCGTACGGCTCCTTGAAGGTGTACCTGACTGACGTTCCTGACTTGAAGCTGGCCGACAGCTCTGGAAGAAAAATGGACGGGTTACCCTCGGAGCTGTTAAAGAACGCRATACAAACAAAAATAAAGTGGAGCCAGAAGCTTGTCTCTCCTCCTTTTATCCGTTTTCTGGGTCATTTTAATTAGACTTTTATAGAAACCAAACAYTAGAGCCTAATTATAACATCATAAAATCACTGATTTGCCTCGCAGACAAAGCAGCTGGTGGGAGAAGTTCTCTTTTAAAGGACAGAACTGTTGAATCGGAACACAGAGTTCATCGCGGCGACACGTTAAATAGGACTCGGGATGCATTAAAGCTTTGATTTCACACAGAGCCGAGTGCTTTTTAATGACGGTGAAGCGCAGGAAAAATGACTCGTGGAAAAATATAGATTCTTAACCTTTAAAACACCCACACACAGACGCAGAAAAAACACTTTATTAAGTTGGCTTCAGCCGTCCTTTAGATCTTTCTTTGCGGTGAGAATTGATTCTATTACAGCCCTCAGACAATAAATGATATTTAATATTTGCTTATTGATTAAAACTGTCTTTACTGGATGGTAGACGCACAATAGAGCTTAGATTTTTAGCTTTAACATGAACCAACAAGCCCGAAGTTTATTATATGTGATATTTTTTTAAATGTCATTACAAATGAAAGTTGTATTGTGCAGAAAACAAACACAAACAACTAACAGACTCSGGTACTAACACTAGTTTTACCTCATTATCTGACGATTACAGGAAGTTGAAGCTATTTTTGTGTTGGCCAAGGTAGATTAGCTGTGGCGGCCATCTTGGACAGTTCTAATCACGACTGATTTGTTATTTTCCGGTCGTTTCCATCAGAGGCGTGTACCTGTGTGGCAGAAGACTCCGGTGTGAGCAGACTCGCTGCAGTCGCAGTAGAAGCCGCTGACTCGCTCMACACAGCGGCCCCGGTTCTGACAGAGCGAGCCGTAGCTGCTGCAGTGACCGGGGCAGCCGGGCCGGACCCCRGGCGTGATCTTGGCCCTCTCCTCCAGGTCCAGGGTGACGCCGTTCAGCTGCAGGGAGCGGATGCATCCCCGGAAACCCCTCTGCCTGGACGCCGTGCCGCCTGGAGACAAAAAAAATACTCATTTTTAAAACGACAAATGAGGAAGAAAACTCATCCCGGCGGCTCCTCTCGTCTCTGTTCTCCAGCTGAAAAATCTTAATTATCGTCATTTATGTTGACAAGTCTGTGTTTTGCATTTTCTGTGATTTTTCTATGTTTTTCCACCTGACATTTACAACAAATCCACCTGTCATGTCAGCTCCTCTGAAGCTTTAAATTGTCGAGGCTGGTGTGAGATAAACAATGAGAAAGCAGCGAGCTGTAGGTGGAGAGGCTGATTCAGAGACGTGACATTCAACAGCTTTCTTTATGTCTCTGCAGCATCATTCCAGCTGCAGACGGGATTATTAAGTGATTGGCAGCCATGATGAATTACCGCCTGTCAGAAACAGAAACACAGATTTATTTATTCTYACCTCCAGCACACATCCTGGACTTTTTTTTATCACTTCCACACTAGTTTCATATTTGTTTTTTAGATTACATACCTGTGGATTTTAGAGGAATACCACCTTGATTCTGGAATTTCCCGTGACTCGTGAAGGCGCTCCTCACCTATAAAGAGCTGGCTGTTGAGCTGCAGGTGGACGTGTCCGTCACTCGGGGCCTGCTGGGTGGAGACGGGCAGGTCGTCCAGTCCAAGCGTCGCCTCCTTGATGTTCCGCTCCGCTCGGACCTGATGCCACCGGTCGTCGTTCAGCGGGATCCTCGAGTCCACCTGAACCTCCAGAGGCCCGTTTCCAACATCGAAGGAGAAAACCACCCGGGTGGGAGCTGGAAGAAGAAATGGATTTTGAGCAGTTATAGGAAATGTGATGTTGGTTTAGAAACAAAAAACAAGTAAATGCTTGATTTCTTGTAGACATGATGTCTATCAATAAATCTAATCTTACTAATCTCCTTTAAGATCAGCAATTATTGTTAAAAATCACAAACAATGGGCCACCCTCACTAGGGTCCTCAAGGGGTCATTGGGGTTTTTTGATCCAGTCTACATGTRTTTTGTGGACTAAGTCAAACCCCTCCAGGGTGAGAGTTGGACTGAGCCAGTTGTGACAGATTCTGTTCAGTTTAATGGACAGAACTCCTCGGTTCAGTCAGGTGACAGAGGGAGTCCGGATCATCTGTTTGTAGATGATGTGGTCGTGATCTTCAGGTCTCACTGCAGCGGTCCACAGCTGGGAWCAGCACCTCCAAACCTGAGGCCATGGTCCTCAGTTGAAAAAGTGTGGATTGCTCTTTTCAGGTTAGGGATGAGGTTCTGTCTTACGTTGAGGAGTTCAGGTACCTTTGAGTTTTGTTCATGAATGAGGGAGAGTGAGATTGACAGATGGATCGGTGCAGCTTTGGCAGTATTATGGACTCTGTACTGGTCTGTTGTGGTGTTCTACACTCCTATCCTCACCTATGGTCACAAACTTTGGTAGTGACTGAAAGAACCAGATCACAGATAGAGGTGGTCGAAATGRGTTTTCTGGACTCTTTAGAGACAGGCTGAGAAGTTCAGTCAGAGTCGCTGCTCCTTCACATCGAGAGGAACCAAATGAGGTGGATCATCTGGTAAGGACACCTCCCTCAAAAGGTGATTTAGGCATGTCCAACTGGGATGGATGGATGGATGGATGGATGGATGGATGGATGGACAGACGGATGGATGGACGGACGGATGGATGGACGGATGGACAGATGGATGGATGGATGGACAGATGGATTGATGGATGGATTGATGGCTGGATGGATGGACAGGTGGATGGACGGATGGATGGATAGATGGATGATGGATGGATGATGGACAGATGGATGATGGATGGATGGATGGATGGATAGATGGATGGATGGATGGATGGATGACAGAGAACCCACAACTGGGGTTTGCTAAAATAAATCAAAAGTTTTTAGAAAACAAATTACAACAGTGATTAAATGAGATCTGATGACAAATAAAACGTGTTTGAGACGGCTGCAGTTTAGAAAACCATAAAAACAAAAGTAATTGTTGTCATTTGTTGTGGAGATAATTGCAGAGTAAAAATGAGAGTTTCCTTTATCCAAACGTTCATCTCTTCTGATGACAAATCTTTGTCGAACCTCACAGTGATACAATTATCGGAGGCAGATGTTTGTAAAGTGAGGCTGAAAATAAATAAATWAAAAAAACATGCTCTGTTTCCAAACGGCTCCCAGAGCAAGTTTAAAATGTGCCAACGCCGCGAGCGGGGAATAAAGAGCAACGTTTTAACAAGCAGGAAGCAGATCGGACAAACAGAGGAATGTAGGGCTCTCCGGAATCAAATTTAATTAAACCGTCACAAACATAACAACAAACAATGCGAGGGCTTTGAAGTCAACAGATTGGGAACAGTTCTGACAGGTTAACAAACAACAACACAGAAAACTGGGGCCGCATGTTGATTACACAGAAAACCAGAACATCTTATTCTTTCCTGGCTGATATCATTTATTTGCCATTTCTTCACAGATGGTCACAGACCTGAAGTCCTCAGAGACCCTTAAAGGTTCTAATCTGCACTAACAGAGCTGCAGCTTTCAGGGAAATGCCATCTTTCTTTTTTGCAGTTTTGCATTCATGTTTCAGGACCAGGGTCAGCGTCAGAGGCGTTCTGCAGCCTGGTTTCAGCACCACGGACAGCGTCTCAGCACCCAAAGTCTTTATTTCCCTCCTGCAGGCTGCCTGCTGTGCTCTGTTTTCTCCATCAGCAGAGGAAGATTTAAGAGAGAGTAAAGGAACCAAACTGCCGTCCTTTATGTTTTTCTGCTGGTGGAAGGTGGGACGTATCGCTCTGGGAGCGCAGAACAAGATGAAAAAATACCCTAACATCCAGCAGTAACTTATTTAGAAATTTGTTCCCGGGCCCGGCTACAATGTTAGAGCAATCTGAGGTTGATGGAAACAGAACAGCGCTATATAGAGCTGGAACAACCACACAGACAATGATTTCCCCGGAGAGAGACGTTACGGGTTGCTTTCCCTGAGCCACTGTGTGTGTGTGTGTGTGTGTGTGTGTGTGTGTGTGTGT